GGGGGTGTCGGAGGGTGGGGGTAGCCTCACCGGCGATTATGGACCACCGGTGAAGGGGAGGGTGGGATTTGGCGTGGTGGTGGCTGGTGGTGGGCCGTTGGGGGTGGTGGGGTTTTTTTTAAAAAAATTATTTTAAAATTATTTTTATTATTATTTTTTAATTTTTAAAGTTTTTTTAATAATTAATTAACTAATATTACACCAACCAATTAGAGGCTGCCACGTGGCATATTAGTCATTAACACTAACCGCCGGCAGTCATTAAGGGCATTTGGTGACATTTTTCTTAAACTCAGGAGTATTTGGTGAATTTGAAAGTTTTGATGGGTATTTGGTGAATAAAAAAATAACTCAGGGGCAATTGGTTCATTTTTTTATCAACCAACTTCTTTTCTATTCAATTCACATGATTTTTAGAATGTATTTGATCTTATTTAAACTTAATAAAAAGTATCTTATTGATAGGTTGTCGTACACCTGTCAAAAATAAATTCCTAACAAAATCAACTAGCAATGTAGTAGGGTAAGTAGGGTCAAATCCACAGAGTGATGGTGTTCAATCTAAGTTCTAAGGTATGGAGTAACTAAACAAATCACGAAATTTGGATAATATATAAAGTAATCTAAATTAAAAAAAAAATAATAAAAATACCTAGGGTTATGGTTCACCATGTTTATAGTTATGAATCTATCAAACACCATTAACAATAATTCAATCAATCAATTATATATCTAGAACAATTGTTAAGCCAACGACCGGGTCTTAATGCTCTCAATTCAACATATGTAGTTCGATCCTAACATAATCAGAATTGCTAATTGTAGGTAAGCCTCTAAAAGTAAGATATTTCGATTCAAACTCTTATTAACAATAATTAATCAAACAATTGATCAGGTTTCAAGATTATCAATAAAACATATCAATTAGAGAAATCAATAATCAAAATATCAAAAATATCAATCAAGATTCATATTATAAACATGGATTCCCACACCCTAGAAATTAAACTACTCAAACATGAAATAAATAATTAAAAAATAAATCTAATAAAGAAAATATATTTAAAGAAAAGAAATAGAATTAACTCTATAAATTAAAGTAACAAACTCAAGAACAAAACTATGGAGGAATCTATTGAATTGTCCATGAGAAACTAAGGATAGAGAGAAAACTAAAAGGAACGTAAAATAATAAAAGATATAAAAAAACATACGGGAAAAATATTATCCCTTGAGTATTTATATTATCCTAAAACTAAAATAAAAATAAATAAATAAAAATAAAAGATAAGAAAATTAAATTAATATTAGTGGTCCAATGGTTGGTTGATCGAAAGAATCGTAGTCGATGAAGACTTGTGAAGACGTGAAGGTGAAGCCCAAAGACGAGGCCTGTCGCTGCTGCACACGCTCGAACCAGTGACCGCTGGGTATCCAGCGGGCTGACCAGTAGCTCGCTCGTGGCTGGGAGTGCCGACCTGCGCCCGCAGCTCGCCCGCTGGTTTGCAGGGCTGTCTTTCAAGGGCTATATCTCACGTTTTAGGAAGATTATAGGGGCTTGTGACCTATCGTTGGAAATCTCTTCAAGTATAGTTTCCAACGCAATTTGAATAGCTCCAATCCGATCTATAGAACTCAACTTATGATCAAAAGAGTGACCAAAGATCTGTTTTGACATTTTGCAAATTAAACTATCGTTTTTCTTCGTTTTAAACTCAAATTCATTTGTGTAAGATGTATAGCGTCCCTTGAGAACGCTATATTCATTCCTCAAGCACATAGTAATCAAAATCAACATCCACAAACATGGGATCTTCGATTTATAAACTCAATTCATTGGCTTCCATCTAAATATCATCCGAATCAACTCCAAACACTATGAAAGCATCCAAATGACTATAAATCACCTGAAACATTAAGAAAAACACAAACATAGCGTAATAGAGCACAAAACAAACAATTTATGCATTTGCGACCTAAAAAGCAACAAAAAGACCTAAAAAGCTATTATAAACTTAGCATAAACGTGCCTATAAATCCTATATAAATATGATTCATCACTTATTAATAAATATAAGCTTATAAACTCATATCTAAAGTTTAAATTTCAAAACCCATAAAAATGATTTTTCCTATAATAATTGAAAGTACACAACATTTTGTATGCGACCTTTTGTATCATGCGGCAGGGGTTACTCGAGTCACCGTGGTTACTCGAGTTTCTCGTTAGGGGTTACTTGAGCTGTCGGGGTTGCTCAAGTTACTCAATCAAGGGTTACTTTACTTACTCCTGACTGAGTAGCCCTTCAAGTAACCTGACCGAGTAACCCCTCGAGTATTCCATGATCGAACCTCTCGAGTAATCTCTGACCAAGTTACCCCTCAAGTAACCCTTGCCCGAGTAACTCCTCAAGCAACCCCTAACTGAACCCTTTAGTAACCCTTGATCGAGTAACTCTTAACCGATCTCCTTAAATAACCCCTGACCGAGTAACCCCTCAAGTAAAGTAAACCCCTCGAGTAACCCCTGACCGAACCCCCCAAGTAACCCTTGACCGAGCAACTCGAGTAACCCTTAATAAAATAACTCGGGTGGCTCTTGGCCTCCTGCCACACGGTGTGGCCTGCTGCACCAAAAAGTTACCGGTGAAAGTAATGCTACTCAAAGCCTTAAGAACCCGGTCTTAATTAAAGAGAACAAATCCTAATTGAAGCCTTAATTAATGAATTGATCTTCACTTAAAAAAAAAGCCTTAATTAACTTAATTGAGGTATGAAATGGTAAGATAGGTAACCGTTTGATGCATGCGTGATAATGAAAAGAGTTGAGAGTTGTATTGAGTACTGTTACACTATGGTATTCTACTCATTTATAGCCTCACCTGTTACTGGTACCACCAAATAAAAAAAGTTAGTGAGCACAAGATATCTGACACCTTTCTTTCTTTTTTTTTTATTCTCTCTCCTGTTTTGTACTCCGTATCGTAACGGTTTATCACTGTAGCTATAAATAAAAAAAAAAAAAACTCCAAACTTATCTACACTAATTAAAAACTAAGTAATTTTCAACGTAAATAAAGAGGAAGCCCCAGTCATCATCACTTTAGGACCCACTTTTATGGAAAAAATTGTTGATTTATTTACAAAATTGTCATGTGATAAACAAATTTTGTGAATCTCAGAGATTAACTTGTATTTACCCATAAATAAATACTCGTAAAAAACTACTCCTAAGTAAAATACAAAGTAGTGTTTTAAAAAAAAAAAAAAAAAAGTAAAATACAAAGTACGGAGTATGCTTCAAAAAGAGTAAAATACAAAGTAGAGTTAAGATTCTCACTTAGTCACTATGCCTTTGTGACTTTTTAAACACAAAAAAAAAAAAAAAAAAAGAATAACCCTATAATACTACTCCGATCCAATGCTAGATTAACTGTATACTCCCTTCGTTTTTTTATATGCATCATTTTTTATTTAGGGATGTTTTTTATATATGCATCACTTCTATATTTGGTAACTTTATACTATATTTTATTATCTCTCTCTGTTCTCAAATACCCCACTCAAAATATTTTATCATTTCACTCTATTTCATGGTCCCCATTTAAATTATTAAATAAATCATTCTCTCTCACATACTATCTATTTCATGACCCACATTGTACTTTTATCAAAATAAATTAATCATCCACTTGCCCCACTTGCACAATATAATATTGAAGCAAATAACTTTCCTAAAACTCCGTGTAAATGCAAGTGATGCATGTAAAAAAAAACGGAGGAAGTATTACATAGTACTAAGTAAGTAAACTCTAAAAATAATTTTCACAACAATATTCAAGTAACTTCGTAATTTTTTTTAACTATATAATAAATTAGATCAAACTTCAATCATCACGATTTTTTTTATTCATTTAATATTTGGGAGCCACACACTTAGGAAGTTAGGAGTAAAGGGAAGGATAAAAGAATCTTTATCCCAAGTATCTTGGTAAGATTTAAATCCAAATCTCTAAAATTTGAGGTAAGAGTATTTATCAAGTGAGCATCATTATAACTACGGTAAGGATTTGTGGTCATACTTTGAGATTTATAGTTCAAAACTATGTACTTCCTCTATTTCTTTTTAGTTTCTACACTTTTCTATTTTGAAAATTGTTAATTAATTGCAATACTTTTCATTTTTTTACATTCATTTCACTCTATCTCTCCTATTTACATGGGTCCCTCTTATTTTCCTTCTATCTTTCACCTCTAAAAAAATCGTCTAGGAGATCGTGAAAATAAAAGTGTAGCAACTTAAAAAGGAGGAAGTAGTTTAAAAAAAAAAAAGGAAATTGTTCCTTGTACCATTGAGGTTTTAAAATATGCACCCTGTACTCCTGAAAACTTTGAAATGCACCGTGTACCCTTGAGGTTTGTATAAACTTGCACCAAATACCGTTAGACTCACAATAAATGTTAATTTTGTTAAACTGAGACTCCCTAAGCATTAAATTCTATTAAATTATTATAAGGAGTAGTTTAATATCACTTTAATGTTAAATAATTTAATTATAAGTAAACTTAAATAATAAAGCAAACTCTAACACCCAAAAATTTAGGATTTAGAATTATTGACGGAGTTTAATTTTTGATGTAATTTTTGCTTTTTGGTGGTTTACTATGTAAATATAAAGAACTACAAGTAAGTCAGTGTGTGGACAGATTTCAGTTTGATAAGTCAATAACATGTGTATTTGTTAGAGGATTAGGGTTATTTGGTGCATTTATTTACAAACCTCAAGAATACATGATACATTTAAAACTTTTTAAGGATACACGATATATTTTTAAAAACCTTGAGGGTACATGTAACAAATTAAAAAAAAATGGATAATTTATTTGAAATTAAAGGCGATAAATACAGAATATTTGTTTAATAAAAAAAAGAAAAAGGTAAAAGAGACTAGTCAGTGAATAGAAAAAAGAAAAAAACGGAATCGAAAGATAAAAAAGAAAGCTAGATTTAAGGAGAAACGTTGAGATCCGTGTTGTAATCTAATTACAGGTGCTTTAATAGTGTTGCCTAGTCTTCCGACTATAGTATTAGTCTCACTCAACTCAATCCTTGATTATTATTGATTCCTTGTATGGTTCCCTTCAATTCCAATTCCCAATAATAACCAATGCTTCTTTCACCTCTTTTTTAGATTCCTAATGCTATGTTGCTATAGTACTAGTACTACTTTCTCGGTTCCTTTCCATCCCACTTGATTCGACTCGACTCGACTCGAAACTTATCTCGACTTAAATAAAAGAGAGAAAAATGGGGAAGTCATCTTCGTCTTCTTGTTTGAAGATCATTGTATGTGGTGGCGATGCGGCCGAGAATGATGATGTTCATTCTTCTTCTGAGGTTTTTTTTTTTTTTTTTTTTTTTTATATAATTTTGTTTATAAATTATTTTGGGATTTTTAAGCTTTGCATAACTCCAAAAATTTAATTTAATTAATAATTTGCAGTTTTTTTTGGTTTGTCAGAGCTTGAATCTGCATTGGCTGTTATTTTTTTTAAAAAAAGATTAGTTTTTGTTTTTTGGTTTTTAGTTGATTAGTAATTTGGTGCGATCAGTGTTTAAAGCTTTAATTTTTGAATAAATCAGGAGTTTAATTTAACCAGTGTTTAGTTTAATTAATTAATCAAGTATTAATATTCAAGTTGATTATATATTTTTTTTTATTGATTTTTATTTATAAAAAAAAACGGTGAGTAATGCTATTAGTTCTGATTTAGTTGTGTTTATGTAAGATCTGATCACATAGTTTAGAACTTCAGATTCAAAAAACGGAAATCAGTGAGTTAAACATGATTTTGGGCAATTATTGAGTTAAAAAAATATCTATTTTGGGAAGTTTGAACTTTGAAGCTCATTGATTTTGATACCCTTTTAAGTTATTAAGTGAAAGAAAGCAATTGCTGTTTTTGGATCTGAATAATATTTTCTTTAAAACGTGACCAACTTAACCAAAAGCTTAAGCTGATAGTTAAGCCCGAGGAATATGTTCTATACTTTATCAGATGTTATGTTGGTCGTTTGCTTACTTGATATTCGCAATTGGTTGATTGGTAAGGGCTGTATAGAGTATTGTTGCCCTTGTTTGTGTAGGAGAATTTGTGTTTCGAATTAGAGCACCTAGGGACATTAGCTCCTGGTGCGATCTCATAAAAAGCAATCAAAGATAAGATCGAAGAGAAACGCATATAGTGGGACCGTCGTATCTGCAATATGTAACCCGATTCTTGTGACATTGTCCCCTCATTAGTTATGGTTGTCCATTCCTCACAGTTAGCAATGATTGTCCATTGTTTGCTTGATTTTTCATTCATTGTATCTCAACACTATCAAATTTTGACATAAAACTCGATTAACTACTTCTCGGGAGTTTATTAAAAATCTAGATTGTCCTGCATCTCTTTAATAAAGATAAATTGAAATGTGGTAATCTCATATAGTGTCGAGTCAAAGAATCATAAGCTGGTGTTTTGATTCTCCTTTGTCCATGCTGTATTGTGTAAATTTTAAAATTTTTTGTGTGTCAAGATCATATTGAGTGTTTTTGGTGAATAATTCCTTATGAAAGCGATGCTGTACCAAACATGAAAAGTACAATAAAGTAGAGCATTTCCTGAGAATTTTTATTTCTCATACCTTCATAGATTGACTAACAAGTGGTTCCATCTTTCTGTCTTGGACCTAAGAACTGTTAACATTGTTTTATTACAGTGGCAGAAAGATTAATGTGCCTCGTTTTGCAATTACAGCCGATATCAAATAACTAATTAAATTAGCAGACTGTATTAGATTTATTTATTTATTTATTTTTGGCAAAAATGTATATTAATTTTAAAGCATGTCCACTCTTCAATAAGATCCTCTTATTCACATATTGAAAAAAAGTAGATACCCCGCCATTTCGTCTTTTTACCAAACAATACCAAATACTAGATTGACTAGGCAAATCTACTATTTGGAATTGAATTTACTCTTTTCCTATCTACTCTTTACCAAACACCACTATGGACTTCAACTAGAATGGCAACCTATTACTCTTTCAATGTATAAGCTGTCAGTCTCTCCGTAAAAGTAGGATACTAATTCTTTGTATTGCTTCCACAGCAGTTTTTTAGAGTGGAATTTAGCCCCCCTTTGGGAATAGGCAGAGAATAGTCCCCTTTGATAATCTGCAAGACATGATTGATGTTTTTTTTCCCTTACAAATGTCATTTGAATGAGATTTTTTTTTTTTTTTTGCGTTCGGGTAACTTTATGTCTTTATGATCAGTTGAATATAGGACTTATGAATTGTTGAATTAACTGTTGTATGCCTGCATAACTCCCTGATATCCTCTAAGGCTAGACATGCTCTATGGATTTTTCTGGATAAATCTCATTCAATGAAATGGATCTAAGTTGAATGAGATTCATGATAGACAGTGCTATAGTTTTAGAATGATTCTGATAATGATTGTTAAAAGAGAGGACACATTGAATTTAAATAAGAGTAAGAAAAATAAATATTAAAATTTCAACTTGTGCCAAACTAGAACAAAATAAGAATTCTCTAGATGTGCTAAGATACCAAACGGGAAGGGGATATTTTAGGCTTTTATTCCTGTGGATGTTTCCATTTCTTATATAACCTTACATTCTACAATGTAATTTTGACATGGCATGGTATACTAACGGGGTTATTACCTTCATGAATGTTGTTTTCTTTTGAAGTCTCATTTTTTTTAATTACTGTTGATTCATTTTTGAGGTAGTTGGTTGCTATATTGTTGCTTCTGTACATTGTCTTAAATATTGGCACCTGAACTTACAGGCAAAGACACCAAATGATAAACGCGGATGGAGTTTCAGGAAAAGATCTGGGAGACATCGGGTGCTAGGCAACAATGTCAATTCGGAAACTACCACTTTACCCGAAAAAGAAACCCCACAAGCTGGTAGTATAAATTTTCAAGCTCCAGTTAAGCCTACAAGTGCTGATGAGAAGCCACAATTGCCAAGACCAGTTGATGAAATTAGTAAAGCAGTTGTTGCTTCAGAAAATGATAATGAATTGAAAACATCACTGGTGGTGGTCACTTCAGAAAATGGTTCAACACGGGAAGAATCAAAAGTTATTCAGGATCAGGATGCTTTCCAAAGTGTTAGCAATAAGACATCTGCCGAATACAAGGTGCCTGATGCTGATGTTGTTTCAGAATTTGATAGCAAGGAAACATCAGCTGAATCCAAAATGGCTGATGCTGTCGTTATTTCAGAATATGATAGCAAGGAAACGTCAGCTGAATCCAATATGGCTGATGCTGCTGTTGTTTCAGGTTATGATAGCAAGGAAACAGCAGCTGAATCCAAAATGGCTGATGCTGCTGTTGTTTCAGAATATGATAGCAAGGAAACATCAGCTGAATCTGAAATGGCTGATGCTGTTGTTGGTTCAGAACATGATAACAAGGAAACTTCAGCTGAATACAAAGTGGTTGAGGCTGTTGATGTTTCAGAAAATGAAAGCAATGATACATCCGATGAATCAAGTATAGCTAGTGAATCTTCTGAAACAAAAGATTCAAGCATCAAGTCTGATGAACCTAAATTGTCTGAGTCAGAGGTGACTTCAGAAACTGCTTGTAATGACAGTTTAATTATGGATGAAACTGTGGCTATTATTATTCAAACAGCTGTGAGAGGGTTCCTGGTAACTATTTATTACTCATGCAGATATTTTTATGGGCTGATTTTCCAGACCAACATATTTTGATGATCTTTTCAAATTTTATTTGTCAGGCTCGAAGAACCTTTGTCCAGTTAAAGAGTGCTGTTAAACTTCAAGCTGTTATTCATGGACATTTGGTGCGGAGAAATGCTGTTGAAACTCTACATTGCATCAAAGCAATCGTCAAGGTTCAATCCCTTGTTCGCGCTCGCAGTTCAAAGTCATTGGTAATGCACTATTCTACTGGTTACTGCATACCCACTGTTATTGCTTTATGGTTATATATTTCGATGTATAAGATTTTGCTTCGTATATAAATAAACGGTGACAAAACAGAAGGTGTTGAGGGAATTGTTGGCCTAGTTATCAGCATATGGCTAGTGCTTGGCTGCTTGCAAAGTACAATATGTTTTTATATTAAGAGATATGAAAGAACATAGTTAGCGCTATGTGTTTATTATATCCATTCGGTTTTGGGCTCAATTTTGTCTGCTGTCCAATATATAACATACGTGCTGTTGTCCTATGACATGTTGATGAATGTTGACTGAAGAATTTTGTTGGAGTGTAATATTTGGTATTTATTTGGCATCTGTTATCCTTTACCTTGTGGAATAGAGAATCCTGTTGTATTTAAAATTTTTTAGCTTAATAAATCAAGCATAACAATGACGTTGCAGCTTATGCTGATGTGAAGCCATTATTTTCCTTTCGTATAATACTATTTGTATGTTCAAGCTTTCATTCATACGGAGTAACTTCTATTGCAATGCTGTGTTTGCTGAGTATACTACCCTTTTTGCATCATATGCAGTGTATCCTTATCTATTTTTTGTTAATAAATACATGAACACTATGTAGTTAAATAAAGTATCTTTTACCACTTTTACGGTAGGATTAAAGTGTCTGTTCTAACCTATTTCACTTTGTTTCAGGGCCAGAAAACTAAACCAAATGATGCTCAATTTTCCATTGTGAAGCTGCTCCAAAATAGTTTTACCCGTCAGGTAAGCGTTTTTTTTTTTTTTTTTTGGCAACTTGGGCCACCCTTTGTTTCTGACATTGAAACTTGAAACAAGTTTTTTGTCTAATTGGGGTCAATTGTTGTTATTGTTTAGTTATTGGAGTCAACGTCAAAGCCCAAATCTCTAAATATTAGATGTGATCCTATGAAGCCTAATTCAGCCTGGAGTTGGTTGGAGAGATGGATGGATGTCTCAACATCTGAAGTTGCTGAAAAATTAGAACCTAGTGAGGAACCAGACAATTTGAATGAGGCTCAGAAAAGTGCTTTGCAAGCAGATGATAAGTCTTCGCCACCAGTCTTTTGTGACTCATTAGATTCAAGTTTCAGTATGAGGGATAGGGAAGAATCGGTTGAAACTGAAGATATTGCTGATGATGTTACGATTGGTGATACCTGCTCAGGTTGTCCTTTGTCAACAGACTTCATGATAGAGCAATCTCATCTGCAAAAGCAAGACACACTTTATGAGGATGTGGCTTCTGCTGAGATCGAGTCTAGTGCATTAGAAATCACACACACAAAAGAAGAGCCTGTTCTTGATGATATACCTGCCACACTAGCCACTGAGATCCAACAGCCTAAACTTTCTATGAAGCGTTCAGCAACTTCCGAGCTGAATGATGAGGGAAAGAAGTTTGTATATGGATCAAGGAAGTCAAGTAATCCTGCGTTCATTGCTGCTCACTCAAAGTTTGAAGAATTGACTTCATCTGGAAACTCAGAAAAATTAAATGTTTTGTCTGATCAAGATGTTGAATCTGAACCCTATGTAAACTTAGCTCCTTCCCTTGAAGGTGTCAAGAAACGTAATAAATCTAGTGATGTTGAGGCTTCTGAAACTTTGGATCCTCGGATTCATGTTGCTAGATCTGAATGTGGAACTGAACTCTCAATTTCTTCCACTCTTGATTCGCCTGATAGATCAGATATGGAGAATGCAGAAGCTTTGCCAGAAGTCCGGTTTTTGGAGGAGACATCTTGTCTGCCTGGCGGAGAGAAGCAAGATGATGCCATGCTCAGTAATTGTGTGACTGATGTACCTTCTACTTTGACTGAGCAGGGAGAATTTAATGAGAGCAATGGTGTATTTGTTGATCCAGTAGCCGTTGAGGCTAGCCCACAGGTGGATCAAATACTCGAGACAAAGGAATCCGATGTGCAGTCTGATATTGCACCTGTGAGTTCTGAGACCAAAACAGACTCCTCAACTGTGAAGCAGAATCATCAAGAAAATGGATGTAGTGTGCCCATAGAGCATGAACCTTCAACAGGTCGTCAAACGTACAAATTGTCACCTGAAGCTTCACCTCAAAGCCATAAGACAATCTCAGAATCTCAGGGAACACCTTCCAGCCAAGCCTCAGTAAAAGGTAAAAGGAACAAGATTGAAAGGCATGGATCAAACAAAAAACGTAATCCTCCATCTGCAGAAAAAAGGTCTCCATTAAACACAAATGTGGACTCGGGTGCAAGAAGTAGTACTGAGAATTTGCCCAAGGATCACAAAAGTGCAAAGAGAAGAAATTCTTTTGGTTCAACAAAATCTGACATTGCAGATCAGGAGTCCAGAGATAGTAGTAGTCGTCTGCCGAGCTATATGCAAGCTACAGAATCTGCCAGAGCCAAGGCTAGTTCTTCCCCTAGATCAAGCCCAGATGTCCATGATAAATTAGATTACTCTAAGAAAAGGCATTCACTACCTGCAACTGGCAGGCAAGGGTCTCCTCATATTAACCGATCAGCGTCAGAGAGTGCAAAAGCTAATGGTTCCCATCCTTCTAACGGTAATTTCTAAATCCTTTTAGGTGATGAGATCAAACTGGATTCTTCTCCATCAAGAGAATAGCTTTTCAAAGATTATAAAATATGCTTATGATCTATTGACCCTGATGATATCCAATGTAAGTTACATACATGTCTAACACACTGTGTTGAACCCTCAACCTTTCTGGCCTTCTGGGACCTCTTTACGTATGATGCTTTTTCCTTAACATGCTGAAATTAGTAAAGCGGAGGTGAAGTGAAAAGTAGGAAAATCTTTAGACATCTAATAAAGGGTATAAACTAAACTCCCGTGATACAACTCACAAGGTTTAACATAATATTTTACTGGCTGAATGATGCAACTTTACCAGTCCCATAGTGTAGACCAGTCAATGAAGTAATTTTGTTATAGCTAAAGTCCGCTCATGTTTTCTTTCCTGCTCTTTAACCTGTGGCAAAAACTGTTTCTTGATGTGAAGTAAAATATTTGTCTGAGAAAGAATTACAGCAAACCCCTCTTTCTGATTCAGATTTATCAGTGGAACTTCAAATGCTTTTTACCTTACTAAAGAACGAATGATGTGAACTATTCCTAAAATTAAAAAACACGGGTCAATAATCTTAATTAAAGCTCCAACACCTTGCTGATGTTTGCAATCTTAGGAGGAATGACTTATGATTAGGTTGATCTACTGTAAATCCAATGTTAAGATTTAGCTGATCCTATGTTTATAATTTTTTTTCGCATTGCATTTATACCTGCTTCACTTTTCTTTTCCTTATCAGACTTCTTTTTAGCATATAGCTAGCTAGTTTTTCCTCTAGTCCCTTGATGTTTGCTTATGTAGTTCTTTGTGACATAGAAAGAGAGAACTTGATTTAATTAACTGTATAGTTCCTTTTCTTTTCACAGAGAGGAAATGGCAAAGGTGAAAAGGTGCTGCAAGGAGTCGTATGAACTAATGCAACAAGAATGGATCTTTGGTGTAGCCGAAATCAAGGCTCAAGAAGCTTTCCATTTGCACTGAACCTTGTACCTTTACACTTAGGCTTACTAGATCATTTAATGGAGTGTGAGTTTGTTTGTGAAATATATAGAAGGGTATATTTAATTTTTTTATCTGTACATTATAATCTCATTATTGTTTTCACTTTTCACCAACCTGAGTTTTATCATCGAGGTTTGCGATATGAAGGTGTGCACATGTTTGTATGACTGATTTCTAGTACTATGTGAGATTTGATTCGCATCATTGTACTGTTTCCTTCATATGTTAGCTTCTTATTCTGCATTTTTGATGGAATCTGATTAATCTCAGTAATTATCAGTTGAATTAAGCTACTTCCAACTTCATGGAGATGCTTTCCCATGCCAATAAATACTGTTTGTTCAGAAGAGCCTGATTTTGAAGATTTTTTAGCATATTATGTTGCACTTCAATAACTCTAAAAATCCAAATCATGTCTAATAAATTTTTAGAATGTATTTACTTGCTTCGATGATTAACAAGATAGAAATATTTAGGCAACCGTCTATTACTCTATTAGTTAGAAACAATACAAAAGAAGAGCTCCCAAAATGTGACAATATAGGCACGGAGTATCTGCACCACGGGCTGAGGTTTACACAAAATAACACATGGTTTACGTAAAGTAACACAATGTTTTAGCAAAATAACTGTAGACACCTAAAATGTCTCCCCAAAACCAAACCCGATAATGAACAACCTTTCATCGCCTTTATTGGTCGGGTTGAGTATTTAATCTTTGGAGTTCTTAAATCCATGTTTCCATTCAATACATTTCATAAACCAATCCATTTCCTAGCTCATTTCCTTACACCATAACTTGTTTTCCTCTTTTCGTGTCCATATCGCAAAATCGAAAGAAACTAATTTGTGGCCCTATAATTTTGGTCCAATTATTATTTGGTTGGATAGGTCTTGAAATAAGATTTCCAACAATATATCATATGCCCAATTCTGATTTAAAACGAAAAAGATATGAGCAAAATACTAAACTCGGCCCAAAATCGACACCCTTCTACTAAAATGGCCATATCTTAAAATCTAAAAATTATTTTGACTTGATTCTAATTGAGTTGGAAAGTAGACTTGATAAGATTTCCAATGATATATTATATGCCTTATTCCGAATTACGGATCAAAAGTTATCATAGTTTTAAAAACGCGTAAAAAACAGAAATTACCGCGCACAGTATAAAAATGCCGCGTCGCGGAAAAAACTGACGTGGCACGATACCTGTTGCCGTGCATTTTCGGTGTATTTTCCGCGTTTTCTCACGCGCTTATGAATCTGGACACGATTAGGGCATAATGTACACCGCGACACGGCATTGTGTACCGCGCCACGGTGGACAGTACCGTGTCATGGTGCCCGACCAGTACCGTGTCACGGTGCCCATCCCGTGACATGGGGTTACTCCTTGTTTTCTGCGCGTAATCCCTAAATGATTTTTATCTTTTGTACCCTGTTTTTTGTCCCGCGTCACACCAAATTGTCCCGTGTCACGCTATTTCCCCCCGTGTCACGGGATTTCTTCTCATGTCGCGGCATAAATCTGCCGTGTCACGGTGCCCCAAAACTAGGGTTTTTATCTTTTCTAGGGTTCCGTGTGATCCCCTACTCATTTCATCTATAAATATCCCTGTCCTTTCTGTAGTTTGGGGCATCAAATCATTCTCTCTTCCTCTCTTTTACACCAAAAATCATTCTCTTCACTCTCTCTCATATTCTAAGCCTTAAACCTATATTCTTAATTACACCATTATTCCATTAAGCACTCCAAGGAGTCCACACTCGACCCGAGATTCCGTCCTTAAACTAAGGTGTGAAAGGTTGGACCAAATCAACTCTACATTTATTTGATTTAAATTCCATTTGATTTATATTTTTATTGAAGTTACTGACAATTTATTCATGTAGCAATTTAAAGAAGCGCGCGAAATGTGAGTAATTAATTATTTTAATTACGTATTTTATTTTTTATATTGATAGTATCATGATTAGGTTAATTTATATTTGATTTGACTAACAATTTATTGTTGAATTGCTTCCAATATTAATGTTTATTCTATTATTTTTTATTGATCACCATATTGCATGTTTAAAGGGAATATATAATTGAAAATCACGACTTATAAGATAATTTGGGCGACCAGTTTAGGTTCCTTTTTGAACTTGTTGTTTAATCAAGTGATTACAAATATTTTAGAATTATGTGTTGCATTAATATTAGCTTAATAATAGTTTGGAGCAAATTGAATATTTTGTTTGCATGCCTTTGAGATCGTAGGAATACTTTTTGCTATAAGAATCGAGTAGAGGCCAATACGGGCGAATGTGACTCCATGAATCACTCATTCGTACCATCATCCCCGATCCTACTTTCGTGGTTCCAAACCATATGAATGGGGTGTAACCTTCACGGGTCAATCGTTGTTACCTTTCGTTGTCCCTTTATTGTGGTTGTCTTTTATGATCCGTGAACGGTTTACAAGTTCCTTAAAAACTTGTTGGCGACTCCCTACTTTCCTTGTCCCTAATTGTATTATGTCAATTCTCACTTCTTATGAGTGCCTAACATATTCACACATGCTTAACGTAGGGGCGCTTCAAACGGCGCCTACAATAACACAAGGTTATTTTAGCAAAATAACACAAGATTTGCGTAAAATAACATAATGTTTTATCAAAATTACATAGTATTTTAATTAGTAAAATAAAATAAAGTTTTCGTAAAATAGCACAACCTTTTAGCAAATTCAAAAATAACAAAGATTCGATTGAATCAAATCAAATGAACATATTTAGTTCAAATTAGCAGTACATTTTCGGTTACTTTAAGTAAAAACAAAAACAAATGAAATCTACTTACTTTGTTTTGCTCAATCTTGTTCGCGATTCTCGTATCTTTATATTATTTATGAATATCAATCATTTTTTATGTAGTAAAATTTATTTTCAACTTGGATTGAGCAATTTTGTGCTTGTTTGAGTGTTTAAAACAATAATCAAAAGAATTTTTTTGGTTTTTGTTGAGATGAATGAAGAATATGATGATGTTAAAATGGTGGGTTGGGAAATTAAAGAGAGAAAAGGTGGGGAGAGAGAAAGTGGAGTAAGAAATGAACTTGAACTTTTGATTATTTTAGGTTTATTTATTTTCATTTATGTACTCTCACAAATTTGGAAATTTTGTCTAAAACTACCCGGAAGATAGGATGTTTTGTTAACAACTACCCATTTTTTTATTTGTTTACAATTACCCGGAAGATGGAAAACGTTTGGGTAGCACTACCCAATAACGTTTTCCGTTCATTTTAGATGTTAGTGGGGCCCAACAGTTAACTTAACCCACCAAATTTAATTAATTTCCCCCAACTACCTTTTCTCTCTCCTCTTCAATTTCCCTCAATTATCACTCCACTCTACCCTTTCACTCTCTTCATTGACCTACAACCAATTCTGACCTAATAAGCGAATATTCAACATCATCTTCGTCCCTTTTTCATAAATTCGTAGCCCTACCATCCTTGTCTTTGCTTTATCTCTCTCTTCCAACTCATGTTTTAACTTTTTTGGGTAAGTTGGTTTAACTGAGGTAATTTACAGAAATGGACAAAGGGGAAAGCGATGTAAATACTCAATTGACTGCAGCAAAAAGAGGACCTTCAAGGTATTGTTGTTTTCACCATAAATTTCTGTCCTTTTCCATAAATAATGAAGAAAATTAGAAAGCCCTAATTATTTTAATACTCGAATTTGGAACCCTAATTTTTTAATTGATAAAATTGGTTGGACAATTAAACAATTGAAATGCTTTATCACATAATTAATTAACAATAACCTACAAACTTTATTTAGGTTGCTGTTGAGCTTAGATAATTGTGCATCTGTTGCTTGGTTGCTTTGCCCTGCTTTTTTTTCTTTTATTGTTGTGCATGTTGTTTGACTGGATAGGTGTTGAGCTTAGATAATTGTGCATCTTGGTGTTGGTATTGAAATAATTTCTTTCATGAATGATGTAGGGAGCTTCCAGAATATGTTGATATGAATATCTAGGTTGTGGGGGGGGGGGGGGAATTTGAATACAACAAGGGTAGGACAACTTATGTTGGCGGAGGAATGTTTATGAGGATGAGTTGTTGGTTGAAGGAAATGAATGTTTTGAATTTGAGGAAGTGGGTAATATATGCATATGATTTAGTGTGTAGTAGGGTACCCCAACATTTCAGTGTGTGGTACAGATTACATGGCAGAAACTTGACAAATGGAAGGAGGAAGGTGGAGACATTTGATGACATTATTAACTTGGTCAACAATAGGGATCTGAATGATAGAGTTATAGTTTGGGCCTTAGTTGAGAAACCAAACCCAGTCCAGCCTATTCAACATGGCCTAGGTCCAAGGACAAAGAACCCAACCAAGCTACAATCTGTCACACCTAAACCAGAACCAAACATTCAACCCAGTCCACCTCCTAATAGTTCTTTGTTACCACCTAACAAAAAATTGAAGACCATTAACCAAGAAGTGAAGCCTGTTAGGTGGAGTTTGAGGTTATCTCCTAAAAAAGGGAAACTAGATGTTGATGATGGTGATGATGGGGAAGCTGTTGTGATTTCCCAAGCTGAGTATGACAGCCATATCAGCCAGCTACAAAAAAGCCTAATGATATCCACAGAAAGCCCTCCCCCTACTTTCTCTGTTAGTCCAAAAATAAAAAGTCAGCTGCCCAGTTCTTCTTGTATTCCTCCAGTGAACCCTAGCAGCTCATCCCCTCTAAAAACACCTACCCCTAGAAAGAAAACACTTTGTTCAAAGGGAAATTCAAAGAAAACTGTAGCAAAAAAGGGTAAGCAAGTTAAGGCTCAGGGTAAGGGTAAGGGTAAGGGTAAAGGACAGGTTGACAGAAAAACAAAATAAAAAAGAGTGACTGATTTAAGTGTTGATGGGGAAGATTGGAGTGGGGAGGGTGAGTGGTCTCATGAATCTGAGTAGTCAGATTTAGATGAAGACTTTGCTGTTTAAGATGAAGACATCTTAGAAGAGGAAGCTGACCAGAAAACAACTGAACCTGAAATTAGCCAGGATGAATTCAATGGAGGTGATGCTGTGGAGGTGGAATATGACTCAGAAGAGCTAAGGTCTCTACAAGGCTCAAATGATGAGGTAGATCCTAATCCCACTTTTATCCTAAGGTTGATTTCAAGAGAAAGATTTGTTTTGTTGAAGGGTTAAAGTTCC